AGGAAGGTTCTGCAGTCTAAGACAATTTCTGCAAAAGTTGGGTAAGCTCCAGTGTATACCTCATTCTCCTCTCACCAGTTTTGAATCCCTAAGATTTGATAGCAATGAAAACCATCCATCTTTCAGGCCAAACCCAAAATGAACTTTGCTCTTGAAAGAACACAAAGATGTTTGAGGATTGCAGAAATACTCTCCCCTAGGTTCTCAAATCAGCTGATTCTTCAAACAAATTCTGGATAGCTTGAGTTGAGTAGCAGTAACAAGGTGACATCTCCTTCAGGGAAACTTCCTGAACCTTTACTGAAGTGTAAAAAACAGTAAAATACAGAAAAGATATATTCACTGCTGAAATACACCACTACTTTTTCAGCTTTTTTTCCTGTTGTGACCATTTAAGCAGCAACCTTTTTGTAATTACTGTAATACTGACTGAAATTTTTTCTGCCATTAACTATGCCCACCAAATTCTCTCTCCACATTAGCACCTGTCAGGGAAAGACTTAGAAAAACGTATTTACAATACTTGTCAACTTTTACTTTGCCAATTTCAATTACATTTTTATACTGCGTGGAAACATTTAAGTTACCAACTGCTGGTTATTCTTTCTGTAACAGAAATGAAGGTGGCTGCTTCAGCAGTTGCACACACGCTGAACTGTTTACAAAACCCTGTGTGCACACAATAGAGCAACAGCCCAAGATAAAGGCCACAGACTGGCTGGGGCTCACCTTCTTCAAGAATTAAGACCATACTACTGATGAACTTCTAAAGCAGCAGACAATGGGTATTGGCAGCTACAGAATAATTTCTGCTGTAGGAAGTATTCCCATGTAGGTTCCACTTTTTGTTAAGAAAGACTAGCATGGCAGCAGTACTGCTGAGAACATAACCAATTCAAAACTAAGTTTTGGGACAGAAGTGTTCTGCTGGTCACTTAGCAGAAGCCTAACAAAATTTCACTTGTCTGGAGAGTATCATTAACACAGACTCATACCTTTGCATGCTTTTTACATTTTTATTGTTTGAGTGAAGAGAATGTGCTACATCTCCATAAGATATTTATGTCCACAGAAAACTGTAGATCAGATTTAAGCAGTAAAAACCTAGTTTATTTAGGTCAATACTTATGTGTTACCAAGTTGAGTCACATACTGTTTTATATAAACAATTTTATGTGGAAACGTGACATAGCAGTATGGAAGTTGTTAAGCATTCCCAAACTCTTCCTTCTTTATAAAGAGAAACTCTTTCAGCAACTTAATTCATCCTAACCATGAATTTGGATGAGCTCTGACAATGCTAGTAAGAGGTGCAGTGTTTAGAAGAGCACAAAGCTTATTAGAAGGCACAGGTATGGAGCAGTTGAAAGATAAGCAGGGAGGTGGGGCAAGGTTGAACAAACACCATCTGTACTCTGCAGTGCTGGGCTCTGCAGGCGCTGCTGCGCAACAGCAGCAAAAGGCGGAGCCAGCTCCCTGCCAGCTCCCTGCCCGCCGTGCCACCTAGGTGGGGGCTATCCGCCTGGAACCGTGCCTGCCACTTACAGGCCACCGTGGCCTTCCTGGAGGGGCCTCCCGGAGCTCTGGATAATGGCGCACCACACGCGTGACAGCGTGCACACCTTCACCCGTGCAGCCAACTTCCAGGCGGTCAAACGCTGACTGCGAGGCGCCCCTGCCGAAGGGCTGACGTGCCCTTCCTGTGGCCGAGACCCACCCGAAACCCTCATTTGATGCCATCACAGCTTTGACGCGGCTTTCTGCGATTCACATTGCAGCACTTTCATTTTCACTGCAACAGCTCCCATCCCCCACCCCCAGACTGTGCGGAGGGCCTGACAAAGAAGCCGAACCTCGCAGGAAAGCAGGGGAGCCGCTGTGTGCGCGGCTGTTTCCGTGGCACACGCAGCCTCTAGAGGTAGAGCTCCATCACAGCCGCTGTGGCCGCTATGCAGTAACCAGCCTGGGAGCTCCTCTGCAGCGCCCGCGAACGCTGCCCAGCGGAGGAGAGCTGCCAGCGAACGGCAGCGCAGGTGACACTGCTCCCTCCGAAACTGAGCTCCTCGGCGTACTTCGCTGGCATCGCATCTGAAGGGACACTTCTGTTCTGGCAGGACTAACTAAAGAATAACAACCGGACTAGACTATATCGACTAAAATTAGGTTTATGGTAGGTTAGCTTGTATTGGGAGCAAATCATTCTGCCTTATCTAGCATGGGCAACACTGGACGGCCACAGGTTGAGCCAGTCTGGTCTGTTAGGATGAACTATAACCACATTCAAAGTGTCACTGTGCCTCCCGGACACACCCATTTTTGCACAGACCTTGCCTGAATATACTCCATTTTTGGTTCTGCACAGATGATGACAAAATGCAGCAAGTCTTTTGTTGCTATATTCATTGCAGTTTTTCCCCCCACCCCGCTTTATGGATGGTTAGCTGTATAAGTCCACAATTTAAACTAAAGAATAAATTCAGGCTTCTAGTCACCAAGCCCAGAGACAGCATTTCAAACAACCCAAAATGTTAAGAAGCCATCGTTCACCTTAAACATGATGAGCTGACAGTCATTTGATTCCTCAGAATAATAAAATGAATGAAAAGACAATTCCACTCTACTGCATCTTCCCTTAATGCAGAGATAGCACTAAGTGGTCAATGCTGCTTTTGCAACAGAATTGCTCCTTTTAGTACGTTCCTCGGTAGCCGCTTGTTTTAATTTTAAAAAACCAACAAACGCTAAATTCACATCCTTTAGACTGAATTTGAAACCATTCTCCGACTTCACAAAATGCGTTCTATTTCGACAGTGGATTACAGTTCTAAACTCATCGCTAGTAATATTAAAAACGCAGAACTGTCCTCTGCAATGACCAAAACGGGAAGCAAAAATTGTTAAAAAAAACCAAAAAAAAAAAAAAAAAAAAAAACCTCATAAATAATCCCTTGTCCAACAGAGCCACCAACAGCATGGCGCTACCACGGAATCGACAGGGGCTCCAACGCGGACTGACAACAGGTCTAGCGAGGAGGGCGATGGTGCAGTGAGGCACAGCCTGCCCCTCATCATCATGCTGCTCAGAAGCTGCTGGGCTCCGCAGTGCCTTATTATGACCAGGCGCAGCACACCTCGCTAGCGAGCCGGACAGCTTAGGCTGCCTCATTCAGCCGCACACGCCGAGAGCAGGGAGGGAGGAAGCGATAAGAAAGCAGAGCCAGTGCCATCGTGGCAAGCTCCTTTCCCCCCTCCTCCCAAGACCGCGGGTCCCCTCCCAGGAGGAACCGCTATCCGCCGCGCCCCCCGGCACCGCCCGGCGCCGCCTCACGGCGCTCCCGCCGACCCAGGGGCCGTTTGGATTTGAATCCACACCAACGCCCCAGGGCGGGAAAGGGACCCGGGCGGGACCCGCCGCCACCGCCACTTCCTCCCACGCAAACGGCGCCTCCGAGCGGGACCCTCCGCCCCGGCCCGAGCCCGCCGGCCGCCGCGAGGGACAGCTTCATCCCTCCTCACACCCTTCTGCAGGCGACCTCGCCCCACAGCAGCCAACACCCCCCCCTCCCCCGCCCCCCATCCGCACCGAACTCAACCGCCCCCATCCCTCCGCACCGCACCGCAGCGGCGCCCGCCGAACCCCGCGGCTGCTCCATGCCCAGGGACTCACCATGATGGCCCGGCCTGGCTGCGGGGTGCGGTGGGAGCTGAGGGCTGCACGGGGCGCACGCTGCGCGACCTTCCCGCTGCACGGCTCGCCTCACACTGAGTCCTGCCCGCCCGCCGGTGGCGCCTCATAAACCGCCTCACCGCCCGGATCGCTCCGCGCCGCTCCCTCCCCCTCCCCTTCCCCCGCCAGCGAAGGGGATTGCGAAACGAGTCCCGGCTCCTGGCACTCTGCTCGGCGGGGCACCCCGCACCCCCAGCGCCGCTCCTTCTGCCCCAGAGCCCCGGCGCGGCAAGGAGCGAGGTGCGGGAAACAGGGGCAAGCAACGCTTATGAAACGGGGCGGGAGGGAGAGAAGGGGGGCGGGGACCGGCCAGAGGGACTATTTCTCTGGGCGGAAGAGGATTTTAGGAAAAAATGCCGAGGAGTGTGGGGACTCCGTAAGGAGGGCGCTGATTGGCGGGTTCGTACCTGCAATGCGTCACTCGGACATGCACACTCTGGGCCGGGAAGGCGGGCGCCCCTCCCCCCGCCCGCAGTGCGTGAGGGCCGGAGCAGCCCCGCAGCCCCGCGCCGGTCGGGCCCCAGCCCGGAGCGACGGAGCGCCTTTGCTATGGCCTTCCGAGCCATTCTCTGCTCCGGAACGCCTCACCCGGTCAGAGTTACCGAGTGAGGCTCCTCTGCATGCGGCGCAGTCCAGAAAAATTCCCACCTCGCTCTGCAAGCTAGTAGGGATGCTTCGTCGCTTGGTAGCGTTGTTGAAAAGATTAAATTTCACAGCATCAATTAGGCTGGGAATGATCTCTGAGACCATCGAGTCCAGCCCGTGACCCATCATCACCATGTAACTAGACCCACATCCAGGTTTTCCTTAAACACCTCCAGGAATGGTGACTCCACCGTCACCTCCCTGGGCGGCCCATTCCAATGTCTTGTCTCCCTTTCTCTGAAGAAACTCTTCCACATGTCCAACGTAAAGCACCCCCAATTACACATTTTCCCTTTCCCTCCCCCATTTCCCCTGCTAAGAATCACATATGCCGCGGTCCTGTACCTGGCCAGCAATTCTGAGCTAAAATCTGTAGTCTTTATAAGAATTTTATGCAAGATGCATTGGGACATGGCTCCAGGTGCAATTTTCAAACTTGCACATGTATTTTCAAAGATAATTAAACAGAGAGCTGTAACATTGGCTGAGTCCAGTGATAGCAGATCTACCTGTCCTCTGTGAAAACCATAACACTCATTTTTGGGACCATAAATATGTTATTAAACTTTGGGGTCTGAATTAAAGTTTTCTGACCTCAGTTTGAACACAAATCACAATACCAATCACATTTCAATAAGAAATGACCTACTTCCACATTTATTGAAAGAATTATTTAGTTGATATTTACACGGTATGTAAACAAATAGATTTTTTGTACCTATCTGTACACAAACTAGAGCAATGGCTCTCACTTTGCACACTAAAGAGGTTTTACTCATCTCAGTTCTTTGCTGTCTTTGGTTTATAGGCCACAGAAATAGGATGTGCTTGGGATGAGACTGGCATGAATGAACGCATAAAACAGAAATTCTGTGAGTTTTTCCCCCTGAACATTAAGTCAAATTCTCAGGACTGCTTTCTTTTCGGGATCTTGTATCCACCGAATTCAGAAACAAAGTGTGGGGCGGGGGAAACAGAAGAAGGCCTAGTTTCTTAAAATAATAAAGGACCCTTCATTAAGTACAGTGCCTCTCATCCTCACTTCCTCACTTTGTGGTCATAGGCAATACATAAGGCACCACCACAAAAGCTACCCTTCAGCCTTGAAATCTATCTGCAGTTACTGTTTTGTGATGCACTGGTTTGTTAGGCCTCCTTTTCCCTCTCCTGTATTTATAGTCCACAAATCAAGCACATCTGAACTATTGTCTTTTCAAACTCTGATAACATTTTTTCAATGTGTAATGTGTACCTAGATGAATAAAATACTTCCCAGAGCAGGCAATGGTTGCCAAGGTTATTGTTACCCACGCCTCCTCCAACCACTGCCATGGGAAGCAGGAGCAAATCCCTGCCTGTGGTCAGGCTATGCTGGATGCAGACAGCTGAGCTTCAGTCGAATTTTCCTCCTCCCTGATGCCCCCTTTGGTTCAATTTTAAGGATTGCTCTGACATTCCCAACTTCTTTACATTTCTAGAGGCGTGAATCTGTGCAGAAAAGTTCTTGACCAAAAAATTCATACCTGCTCTAGATTTGGGATGAAAGTGGCATAGCAGCTCTCAGGGTGCATTCCTGTCACACCCTCAAATCTGGAGCAGAGCAGAGCACTGGTGCATCTTGTGGAGCAAAACCATCTCCTGTAGAGACCTTAGCTTGGGTCCAACAGAATGCCCACGGGTGCGTGGTGCTGGGCCTCATGTGCCAAGACCTCTCTTTTGACATCTGTCTTTTATCCTCACATTACCTCAGAGAGGTAAAACATTGTGACACCTAGGTTGCTCAGGTGCCCAGGCTCAAGGAATCTATTGAGATGTTGTAAAGCTGCATTTCTGTGAAACTGCTCCTGAGGGATTTGATGAGAAATATGTGCTGTATTGAGACAGCAAATTCTGACTGAGTCCTGTTCCTGGAGTTTGGCACTGGCCATCATGAGCGTGGAGGCTCTAGGAAACGTGAGTGCCACAGCATGAGTAAGCTGTAGGCTCATTAATGATGGCCTGAGGGTTTGCTGAGGAGCAGGGGCTTGAATGCAAGGATCCCAGGTAACCTGGGTAACCTGACCACCACACTGTAGGTTTTTGTGTATGTCCCTTAAAGGATTTGCTATCTGTAATTTACATTAAATTCTTCATACCCTTTTAAATTACATTTCATTTTCTCTAAAGAAGTGGTTATTCAGAGCATCCTCCCTCTGCTGTGTGTTTCTTAGGCCCCCTGGTTCCTTGATCTCTCTCTCTCTCTTCCATTTCTCTGTTCTTATGTGTCTCCTTTTTTCCATCTGCATTTTCCTACAGCAGCACCCATTTCCTGTGGGTTTCATCACCACCCCCACCCTGCTTCCATCTGTTGGAGAGATCAGCCACGAAGTTAACTTGCAATTACACTACCCGTGAAATTACACCAACACTTCCAGTGGCATTACTAAGCATTAAAGCAAACACCCCGGCAAAATAAATGGGAGAAGGGGGAATTTGCCCCTTGTATAAACAGGTTGTTGGCAACCTCAGGTAGGTAAAGCAGCAGATCCTCAGGTACACTGGGGTAGCCAGAGAGGCAGAATTGCTTTTCAGCAGCCTAGCTGGCACTCTGCAGCCTGCATGTGCCACAAGAGGCAGGGAAATACATCAAATGACCGGTCCCAGCTGCGGGCTGCAACTCTGGCACCTCTGACAGAGCAATAATGGGAAATGACAGTAATTTCTCTGTTGCAGTGGTCAGGTATAGTTCTACCAGCCTGGTCTTTTTAACATGATAATTTCTCTCTCTGCTATGTGATTTAATAGATTTGTCAATATTTGTGATTTGTGCTTTTCTTCTTCCCCTTCAACATAGAAGTACAGTTTTACAGAAGTCCAGTTTAAGGATGAGGGCAGCAAATTAAAAAAGCAATTTGAGTTCCAAGGTTAGATGAGCTGTATATGCCAGCAATTTCCACAGTTACTCTTTCTGGTATATTTAATATTGTGTAAATGCAATTTGTTCTATCGTTTTAATAATACTTTAGTGGATCATTTGGACTGATGTATACAGAATGCTGTGCCATGATGCAAAAATGCTATAGCTGCTTCCTCAAGATTATTGTAATAGTTTGAACAACCTAATTAGAAATTAACTGCAAATTTTATAAGTGAATTTCTGAGATAAGAAGAAAAAAGTTCTCTACTTATCATAAGTACTAACACTTAGCATTTAACTGCTGCATACAGAAGGAAAATTGCTCATGGCTGTTTTCCCATAATGGGTCTGGTTTTTTTCAGCTTTTTCTGTAACACAGAACCTGCCCCCCTTGAGAAAGGCCTTTTTCCTCAATTCCAGCTTTATGGGCGTAAAACTAAGGTGGAAATCAATATTTATCCACCCAGATGTATTTGGAAGGCCCAGGAAATCAATATTTATCCACCCAGATGTATTTGGAAGGCCCATTCAGTCCTCAGCAAAGAAAAGCTTAGTTGTCTACAAAATTTTAAGGTGCTAGATGAGACATCTTGGCTTCTGGTGTCCTGAGAGCATCTACTGAAGAAACAAACCCAGAATGAGAACTGGGAGGCAGTTAGAAAAAACCAGAAGCTTATTGACTGTGTTGGATGGAAGACACCTCCTCTAATACAAACACGGGTGTGGGAATAGCTGCACTTTCTCCTTGCCTGTTGAAAGCCTTGTCCTGTCCTTTGTGCCTGGTCCCTAGAGCACTCACACCTGGACTGCACAGTGCCCAAAATCATGAGGACAGCATTTCTTCCCCTAGGGAGTATGGACAGGTGATTCCTCCACACTTCACTTTCTGTGGAAGTGCATAGACAAGAGCAGTACCTGGCAGAAGGGACTGCATTATCTGCTTTCAGGATATACCTATGGCTGTGTCAATGCTGAAGGTGACCCAGGCATATCCCAACCAGCTTTTAGGTCATTCAGACAGGAATACCAAGGCAGCTCTAGGAGTGTGGTGCCTTCCACAGAGCACCAGGCCCACGGGAGAAGCCAGGCAGGTTTGCAGCCAGCGGATACAGAGCTCTGTTGTTGAGATTACAGCGCTCTCCTCCTTGAGGCTAGATGTTGTAAAGCTGATTCAGGTGACCTAAAACTGACTCTTGAACTATATTGTGACCACTCATTAACACAAAACAAGACAGGAGAGTCCAAAAAGGCAGATAGGTGCACTCACATAAAACTGGGAGGCTGGAGGAAGGCACAATATCTAATCATAGGCTCTAGACTAGGATTAAGAGTAAAAAGCCAATGGGACTCACAATATTTTCCTTTCTTTTTTAAGTTTTAAAGAGGCAAACAACTGCTTCAATTTTATGAGGATTTCTGATGGAACATTGTCCATAAACCTGCAGTATTTTCTATGCTCCTATGAGAAAAACGTAGCTCTAGATCTTCATCTCACCAGTGTATCGTTCTGGAAGATGAGAATGCTGCCTGGGCAGAGGCAGTAAGAGATCCCATTTCGAAACCGTGTTCTTGAAGTACAAGAATAGATGGCCCTCACACTAACTCTGAGCCAGATCTTGCTTTTTCTGTGTTTCATTTTCTAAAATACCTTAATAGGAGGGAAAGCATACACCCTGTATTTACTCCAAGATAACAGAAATCCCATAGTCATCAGCTTTAGTACGGTTCTGTTTTCAGGGACTGGAAATAATACCGTAACACTTACGAGAGGCAGCATAAAGTCCAGGAAATTGCAGAATGTATTCCAATATTTTCAGATTCTGCAACGGCTTCTTTTTCTGTCCTTTGACAAGCTGTAAGAGGAAGCCATCAAGAGTCACCAACTCCCCCACCTGTGGGGCAGAAGTGTTTGTGAGAAGCACCACCCAGTTATTATCATCACAACTTGACAAGATGCATCCAAGTGACTGTTTAAACTTCCCCTCGTGTGAAGATCTAGTAAGACAGTGGTCAAGAAAGTACTTGGTAATTCTCCATTTTGACAGGAAGAAATAAAAGGAAAAATATGTTTTTCTGGATCTGAAGACTCTTAGTTTTGGTGTCTTTCTACATCGAAGGTTTTCATCCTAACATATTTTTTCTTTAATAACAAACAAAAATGACAGAATCATAGGTAACTCCTATTAAAAAATTCCCGGGGGAGGCAAAGCACTGCTTATAATAGAGTTATTGCTGCAGCCTTAATTAGGGCATGGTGCCAAATACCTCTGTGATGAAAAACAAAACGATGCACTGATGCTTTCCCATTACCTTTTTTTGGAGTAATTAAATGTCACAAAATATTTTGCATACTTCCTACTGGGAACCAGGGCATATGGAACTGATTTACAGCAGAAGTCAAAAGGATTTTCTTTAAAACCAGTGCAGGCAAAGAGACAGCTGCTGGAACTGAAAGTTAAAATATATTTTAATTTTCACCATAGCAAAGGGTGAAGCACTTATTGACTGTAAAATTTGAAATCTGACTAGATTAACTTGGTATATCTACTTCTCTTTTTCACCCAAACATACATTGTTTCACCTAAACTGAAACTGCTCTGGAAACTCAAGCACTGTCATTTAGTCTTGTGCTCTAAGATTCTGCACATTTAAAGAAATTTATGTCCACACACATTGACAGCTGAAGAATCCACCTCTGTTGAGTTCAGTAGGCTTTTCACTGGCTTTCTTTCAGCAGGTCACATCATGAGCATCTTAGTCACTTTTTCCTCTATTTCCACTCAGCCATGCTTTCAGAGGGGTTTATTCAACACAAGGGCCGATTAAATACTGAGCAAACAGTTCAGAATTTGGCTGCTTTTATAAATAATGATTCAAAGGTTTGATTTAGCTACAGATGAGCCTGAGCCACAAAAAAAAAATAGCATCTGGATCCTAACTGTGTCAACTCCCATGGCAGAGATTTTTTTTTCCCAGCCAAAGCTTGGCCTGAAAGTTCATGCAGAAAGACAAACTGTGAATCAGAAGGCTGCACCAGTGGCCCGGGTGAAGTGCTTACCAAGATAGCCTGCAGCCACATGCCAGCTTGCCATTGACCTTTTATCTGCATAAATAGTCGTGACCTTTGGGCTGCTCAAATTAGTGCAAGCTGCTTGAGCAGGCAAGTATCACAGCCCTCTGCTGCTCAGGCTGCATCTCTGCCTCTTCCCTCTCGTGCCATCTCCTTCACTGGGCAATGAAGGCAGGTGGGGACATGGGACAGCTTTCTTACCTCTGGGGACATCCTCTGCCTCGAAGGAAATCCACCACTGGCTGGGTAGGACCGTACTAAAGCCTCATTACATCAACTCAGTGACACAGAGAAGACCAGGTTAAGGAGCTGACAATCCGCCTTTGGGTTGATACTTTTGCATAGGGTACAATAAACCTGCTTCTTGGTGTGCCTCTCATTATCTTCCATTACATAAAAGAAATCCTAAGAGTTTTAAAATCAAAAGAGATAAGCTGTTAACAAAATAGTTATTCTTTTGTTTAGCCTCAAAGTGAGTTGTTTTTCTTAAAAAGAAAAGGTAGATCACTAAATCACTCTAATCTACTTTTTATTTACTGCACTGTATGCTGTATGGAGTTTAATGCCCATTATTTTCTCAGTAGACCAGAACTTGCATGCTCTCTCATGTAAATAAACATTTTGTCCTTTTTCAAAATGCATCACTTGTGTCCCTGAAATGACAGCAGTTTTAATTATTTTTGGAAACAGGTATTTGCAAAGTTTTACAAGCACATTTTTTCCAATTGTTTAGAAGAGGTCCTTCAGTTGTTTAATGACAATATTGACTAGACCCGAGGGGAAGAAAAAATGAGTGGGGTATTTTTAAGGATATAAAGCAGGAAAAAAAATAAAAACATTTTCAAGATCCTGCAAGATGCTGACTGCACATATCAAAGGGAAGTTACTATCCCTGAAATTCTTTCTAAAGCTCTTTTTATCTGGTTTTCTTTACCCAGAGCTTTTTTTTTTTTTTTATTTCAGTCATGGGCTACCAGATCCCAAATGTATTTTTCCACATCATGTACATTGTCTGCATGATGCTTTACAAATTCAACTGACTCTTACTATACATCCTGGAGACATTTTTAATTGCACCAAGGCAAACTGTCAGGCAGGTAGTGAGACGGCTAATAAGTAGTCACTGATCCCCATGTTTTTAAAACCAGATTTGAGGGAGCCATCCTGCCAGTGAGAGTGGGAGCTGCATGCTGAGGCACATGCCTGCTGCCTTTGGCAGATATGTTGGAAGGGAACTAATTGTTCTGCTGCATCACATCCTTCAGCTCTGCAGTGAAGTCTAACCCACAGCTGTCTGGGTGAGCTGAATTTCACCCCACATTTCAGAAACATCTGCTTGCTGGAAGGGCTGCACCATTCATATGGTCCTTGGTCAGCCACCCAAAAATCAAGTGTCTCTTTCCCAGAAGGATGGTGGGGAAAAGTGCTGCAAGTCCTGAGAATGAGTTGTGAGGGTGCAAAACCTGCAGATGCATCTTTGTGCTGTGCAGTTGGAAGGGGTGCAAGAGAGGGTAAGGGCTTCTTGCTCCTATTTCCATGAGCAGCTCCACAGAAACAAGACCTTGTGACTCTCAAAGTCCATTTGCCAAATTACAGCATCTCCCTCTTTAGTTACACCTGAGAAAGGGCATTTCTGTTCCACCAGAGAAGCAAATGAAGGGAGGGCTGAGGGGGCATCCCTCTCCCCTAGAGCTATGGAGCCCCTTATGCACAAGCTGTGCTACAGCTGCAGAGAGTTAAAAATGTGGGCTATCCTTGCTGAAACATTGGCAGCACATCACTGTTTACAACTGGAATTTTTGCTGCGGGCTTTTACCAATGACAACTTAGGACAGGAATAGGAAACTTCACATGATGATGAGGTCAACTTTTTTTCTCTTGTCCTGTGCCCCAAGATGAAGACAAAGCTGCTGAAGTTAAGATCTATGATTGCTTGCAAAAACTTGAGCTAGAGCCACAATTTTTAGCTGGCTCTTTTGTGTTATCTTTTATAGCACTTCCAGCAGCATACTCATTTGAAAGTTTTAAAAGCAATTTGAGTTGCTTTCATTTGATCCTCATTTCTGCTCCCCACTTGATTATCTGTGCCTGTCCAGGAGCAATTTTAAGTTAACCCATTCTCAATGAAAGGGCACTGTGTGTGTTTGCGAAGCATGTTTAACTTGTGTCTTTCATCTGTGATTAATATTACATCTATTGAACTACATAAATAATTCACCTACAAACCTGACAAACAGACAGTAATTTCTTCCCCTCAGAGTTTACAGCTCACAGGTATCTTTTTTTAATGGTTTCATTACCTTTTGTGTACCTGGAGATAAAACCAGTGAGCTAGACAATCATGTGTGGAGGATGGAAGGCTGCTTGGCTGTTGTTCTCTGCCCCCATCCCACTACACTCAACATACATAACGTGCATAAAAACATAGAGTGAGAATAAAAGAACCACTTTGCATGTCACTTCTGCTGTCGTGGTTTGTGCATGTGAAGTAGACTCCAGCTCGGCCTTCTGGTTTGGATAACAGCCCTGTAAAATAATTTCTACCAAGAGACTAGAGGTCTGGTTTTGTTCTCATGAAAATGAAATTAGTGGAATTATATAAGCATAGAATCAGGGGCAAATGAGAGGAAACTGTTATTTATTTGTTATTTGCTCTTTTGTGTTTTTTTATGGAGTTGGGCTTCTTACACAGAAGGCAATGGTCTCGGAAAAGATGGAAAGTGTGTCAATGGGCACCTGGCCTTGGGAGCACCATAGTACTTCAGCCTTGCAGGCTGTGTGAGGCACACACACAGCTGGCTGCCAGAGGGTGGCTTGAAACAAAATAAACTCCCCAGACCAGGAATCCCCTTGGAGCTAAGTAAGAGAAAACACTAAGTGCAGGGGGTCTAGATGAAATCCCATCCCCTCTCCGCCTTGTCCACGGCCCTGTATCAAAGCTGTACGAAAGAATGTCCTTCTAGCCAGGAATCCTTTCCTCAAAATAATTGTGTAGGACCTCTCTTTGGAAGCAATGGTGGGAGGCTTTTCCTCAGAATCCACCCCAGCACCACTTCAGGCTGTGTGCTGTGCTGGTACTGGGCTAAAGCTCTTTATCCGTGGGAATTCTCCTCCCTCCACCATTAGCTGCATATGTAAAACCCTGCATAAGCCATTGTAGTCTCTGGATCTGGGGGTGGAGAGTGGAATGGAAGAAATCTTGTAGCAGAATATATTTAGCTTCCATCTCTTCCAGGATGCTCCTTCACACCTCCCAGTTAAGTGCATCCTGCCCTGTACTGAGCCACGAAATGCAGAAGAACCAGCAGAGCTTTCTGCCTCATTGAAGGGGCTCAGATTTATACTTTGATAAAGCATCCTCAGTATATAAAACATAAAAGGGACCCCCTCAGTTGTTAGAAAAAAGACATTTTAAACACAGTTCGTGGGAGAAAACCTAGGTTGGATCCTAATGCTATTCAGCCATACTGAAAAAAAATTTCATGTCTTTTCAGAACTTAAAAGTGGAATGAAGACTATTGGCTAAAAGGGCAGGAATCACATTAACCGAGCTGCCTTTTGCCTGCAATATTTGGTATTTGGTGTTTTTCACTTACCTATGCTGCAGAGCTTATTACTTGTCCATAAGGAGTGCTGCTGAAGGCAGGGAGTAGCCAGTTCATGGTTATCTGCTGTGATCAAAACCTGAGAGTTTGAAATGGATGTTATTCATTGCAGCCACTGTGACTGAGGCCATTTCATATGGAAACAATTAAGAGGCAAAAAAGCATATCATAACAAAGGAATGAGAAGAAAGATCAGGAAATACAAGCAGATTGGATCATTCTCTAAAAATGGATACAGTATTTACTGTTGGCAAATATAATGAATCTAAGACTTCAATTACCACAGGACAGCAGACAGGACTCTGAATTGCAGATTTTTTTATGCAATCTAAGAGGAAACAGTTAAGATTAATGGTGAATATAGAATTTAGGTCTAGAATAGAACAAAATGTAACTTATTTCATATGTGTGCAGAATGGAATCTGAAAATAATGTGTTTAAAAAGTCACAATGGGAAATTATGCAGAAATGAAAAACAAAGAGGAAATAAAAAAACATGGTCCGTGAGCATTTCCTTAAAAGTAAGGGGAAAATCTAAATTAACATTGAAGAACATCCACAGCAATTTGCACATTTTCTTGAGACCAATGTAAATGCTGCCAGAAACAGAAAATGGCTAATGAAAAGAATCTCTTTCTAAGAGGTGTTTACTATTACAGGCAGTAAAAACCCAGAGGGAGGGTTTTTCCCCCACTGCTAGTGGAGAACAAGTGAGGCAGTTACTGAAAGCATATACCATAATAAAGAATTCTGAAACACCATTTAATATTTCTGTCTGGCTGAGTAATTAAATGAACAAATTTTCAGCAATAGGTGATATGAGATAGACTGTCAGTCTTGCACAGCTGGGAGCCAGGACATCCATATCTCTCAATTCCTAAGATAGTCATCTAAACTTGCAGGAAACTTTGGAAATCACTTTCAGTAGCTACCAACACTAGATCTAGTGCTGTACTGCCATGCCCTGGTGCTCTACAGACATTCACACACCAGTTTTCAAAATACCACAACCTTGGGTGAATTTAACATAAACTTGCATTGTCAGATGACAGCAAACTGCCATCCAGCTCCTCTCTCTTGACCATTGCCTGGGAGACTAAGTTCTATTGCTGAAATCAATTTGAGTTTTATGACTGGCCTCACTGGAGCCAAGATTTGGCTTAGTGTCTGGATGTAAGCAGCTAATGGTTTTTCTGACAACAGCTCAGAGCTGGTGTAAGTCAAAGCAGAAATATTTAATGCCTTGAGACTGGCAGAACATCCCATTCATACTCTTGGCTTACCTGGCAAAAGTGGTTTCAGATACTGATGCCTTCAGTCCTGTTCAAACACCCTGCTTTCCCCCTTAAATAACAGGAATGCATAAGTGGAAGTCATCTCACTTCTTCAGAAAGCTGAGAACTGCAATCACCCACTAAAACTGGCCAACATACACTGAGCAAAGGGTTGGTCAAGGGAGCATCTGAACCTCTGAATGGGATACCACAGACCCAGCACCCTGCCCTCCCTCTGCTCCCCTCACACCTCCATGACTCCTTACAGCATGTGGCATTCTGCATCTCAGCTGTCTGAATCTACCAGAGCTTGAGAAAGCTGTGCTGCTGGGCTGGGTGGCATTTGGCCCTCAGTGTTCTCTCGCTGGCTGCTTCTCCCTTGCTGGAGCATCCCTTGGAGGCAGTGAGCACACCTCCTGCACTTCCTGCTGCTCATCCCCAAGCCACCAGCTTTGATCACTCAGGCAATCATTAAGGCTGCCAGCTGCAAATCCATGTGATTTCCAGTCCTTTCCCAACTTTGGCAAACGCTTTTGCCTAAGCAGTAGTGAAGTGGAGCATGGCAGGAGGCAGGAGAAGGGATGGTCCCATGCAGGATGTTTCATCCATCTACTGGCTGGACAGAGAAAGCAGAGGTTGCAGAACAAGTAATCCTGGGTGCCTTTGGCATTTTAAAAAAAGCTACATATATGACACAGTTTCTTCAGAAGTTCCCTTTAAATAGTAAAATTTCTGCCCATTTGTATTCACAGGTCTTACGATCCTATTTTTAAACAGAATGTAGGTGTGCACGAACAGCGGGTGTGAGACTGACAGCACTAGACCAGAGCTCTCCATTTGCAGAATAACTGCTGCATTGACTACTATGCTGCAAACTCCTGTAATGGAAATACCAAGGACTGAGAGGATCTTCCCATCCCTGGTCTTATTTTGCCTTTGTCCTTGCAGCTGAAGCTGCCTCAAAGGGAACTAGCAACTAAGATGGGCTGTGGATGTGTGTGCGTGTGTTCACATGCACGTTCAAACATTTGCTAGAACAGACACAAGATTATCAATCTTTCCAGACAGTAATTACTTTTAAGCCTCAGCAATTCATTTGGATTTTGTACTCCATTGCCATAGAAGTAGCTTTTCACATGATGCTTTGAGTTCTCTCAGATATTCTCAACAAACATGTTTAGGTCTCCTTTTTTATTTGCTAACTTTTTGTTCTTAAATATAAACAGCTCAGGTTCAGGTACTTGTACCCAACTTTGGAAATATCAAAAGTTCTTACCAGTTTTCAGAGAACACCCTGAAGTACACTGTTGTGCATAGCAGGGGTAGCTTCTAATGCCTCAAACCATTATTTAGCAGGTGATTCTGTAATTGAGAACAATTATGTTGGGCTTCTGATCCTTTCTCCCACTCCAGCTCAGTCAGAAACATCTTCTGAAAAAACTCCATGGCAAAATCCCTCTGACCATTTAAAAAGCTGCCTTGTATTCCTTACCTGTCCCCTGAGCCATCTATTCTGCACATTACAAGGTCAGGAGCAGAGCCAATACCAATACCTTCCCCTTCTTGAGGCATATCAGATATATTACTGAATTAAGGGAGTTCCTATATTTTTCTCCAAGACTATAGGCATGCAATTTCCAGCTATTTCTCTGAACCCTCCAGTCCTCGTATATTAATGTGCTTTGGCTTTTGGTACAAGTTATTAGGAAGGAATCTTCTTGAGCCTTAATTTTATTTCTTTCCTTCCTTTCAATAATTCAGGGTCAAGTTATAATTTTCTCTTACTGTCTCTAGGCTTCTGTAGAGAAGAGCAAAATTCTTTTCATTTTTGTCATTTCCTGCTCCCTCCCCCAGCTCACTGGAATGGTTTTGTTAATGTGCTGTGCTTGTATGCTCAGCCCTCTGATAACTGTCTAAAGAATTACTTTTTCCTTGCAAAATTAGAAGCAGATCAAAGCATCATGCCAATTCTGGATGCTAGAGAAAGCAGAGGCAGAAACTGCCTGACACAGAGTTCCTCTGGAGGTAACATCTCTCTGCCACATCAGAGGTGTCATGGTCAGGCGAGGAAAATGGGAAGAGACCAGTGCTTGGCCCTGTCTTCCCATGCTCCAGCTGGGAAATCTGATTTCTGAGCTTTGTTGGCTTTCACAGTATTAGAAATATCTGTTATACAGACAGCAATTCTGTTATAGAATGAATATAAATGCTGTTATGCAAAAAGATCAGGCCCAAGGCTAGGAGCCCAAAGACTAGATTTGGGATGATCCAAGGCCTGCCCTTGCAGAGAAACTGCATGCAAAACAGCAACACAGCCTCTTGCTGGGAGGTCATCTAAGGCTTCTTGTGTGCTCTCCGGATTTTATGGTGGGATCTTTTGTGACGAGGTTCAGCCCTGCCTCCCTTCTGTTCATTTTTTTAAAGCACTTTTGCAGTAGTCAGTTCTCTGAAGTGCTGTTCTCTTTCCTTTGAATTGACTGAGAATCTGGGTTAAAGTGACTGACTGATGTGACAACAAAGGAGCGAATGTCATCAGGTCCAAAGGATTTGATATGCTGTTGGTTATAAAATGTACTCGGACAGCCCAAGTTCTGTGCCAGATTAATATTTGATGTCATGGGACTTGACTGGCTGTAGCTGAAAGAGCGGGACCAGTGTTGGGAAAATGGCCATCTCCCTTTCAGGGGAAAGTTGGGACTCATAGGAGCTGACAGCCTGACAGTCTGATCTTCCATCTACCCATAAGCACCAGTCAGAGTGAGCAGTGACAATGCAAGTTTCCTCATATTTAATTCACTAATAGGTCAAATTCTCTTTGTAACCCCTAAGTATTGTGCATACTTTCTATTATCAGCCAGAACTTTCCTTCTTCCAACAGTTTAGAGAGTATTAGTGCATGGTTCCCCTTGACACTAGCTACTCCCTCTCTCTTTCTTCCCCCTCCTCCCCCCCAGCCATCCCCACCTCTCCTAGTGCCTGTGGCAGCAGTGAATTATTAAAGAAATATGGATATTGATCTAGTACCAATATCCAGCTGTGACAGACAGAAACTCTCTAACAGTTTAAAGTTAGAAAGTGTGTGTTTATTGCAACACCGGGCAGCGTGCGGGACAGCTCCCAAATCCAGACTGCACCTTCCAGGTGATTACAGAGTCCTTTTATCCATACAAGTATTGAATACCCAAAATATAAATACATATTCATCATTTTGGTACATCCCATTCCCCGCTTCGTATGCTAATCACTTCAAAAGCTATTAAGCATGTGTGGTTTGTTCCTTGAAATGGGTCGGTGTCCCTTTCATGGGGACAGGTCCCAAAATGAGGAAGTAAATGAAGTCTTCCTCATTCTGACCTTTCTACCTTTTCAATGCAAATATGACAAATGAACTCTTGGTAGAACTCCCATTCCTTGTCTTCAACTGATTTCAGAACAGAGGAGGCCCACAATTGTCTTATGTTCCTAAAAGCTATTTGTCAGTTTCTATATTCTTCGTTATAAACCCAGATAACTAAACATTGTGCTGACAAGCAATCAATTATTAGTTAACTACTAACTCTTAACTTCATCAAGGCCTACTCATTTTATTTTAATTAACTCTAGTAAGGGTTATCTCTAACTAAAATCTTAGCTCCTCTAAAATCTCTAAATTCCTTAAAGTTTATGTTTCAGCAGCAGTAGCCTGCTTTCTCTGGGCATGACACCACCACCACCAGCACCCTCCTGCCTCATCCACTGTTCAGTCATGGTCACAGCAACAGCCACCCATACAGCAGCTGAAGGGAAGCTGGAAGGGTTCATGCCC